CTGATTGTTATCTTCTATTTATTAATGACCAAACTTTGTCTATTCCACTACCAGTACTAATGCTTTTAGTAGTGAAGGTTGTATAAGTTCTTCAATTTCATAATGTTTATGATTCATATATATCACAATTTTTAACTTCATATATTATTGTCTCAATGTCAATTCCTATATATTCATAATAAGAAGTAAAACATCTACACCATTTTTTAATCTTAGGATCTAGTATTGTAGCTATGCAATATAACAAAGAATTATTTTCCCATTATTTTTTAAATTTAATTTCCATTGCTTAAATAATATTTTTAAAATTTAAATCATTTCTATATTTTACAAAGCATTCACTAACTATATACAATTGATTAACTAAAACATAAGATGTTAGGTAATAAACACCAAAAAATAAATTAGTTGCATCACAAAAATGTTGTAAAAAAGATTTTATACAAGTTGCAACTTCCCAATTATCATTAGTTATAAAATCATTGGGTATTTTCTCATTATAAAAATTAGTAAGAATTTCTTTATATGAAATACAACTATAAAATACAGTATATGTAGAATTCCACCTATGTTGAACATCTAATACAATTCTTTTATATTTTATCCATATTGATGACGTAAATATTTAAATTCTTGTTTTCTTGTTTCAAAAGTTACAATATATATATATAATTTCTAATTCCTAATTTTAAAATTATAAGGTGAAATAATTTTTAAATCTTCTTGCACACATAAATTTAAAATGTAACGTGCACATCTTATAATATGAAATAATTTTTAATTTAAAAATGGCTTTAATTCAGTTTTGAAAATATTTATATCTAAATAGTTATTACTAGCACTATCAAAACTAATAGAAAGAACTTTCTTTTCAATATAATAAGTATGTAAAGTATTTAAAATACTTGCAACAATTATAGGGCCACTATAGTTGTTGGGCCAATATGTAGTAGCAATATAAGTCTTGTAAAACTTAAAATTTCTTTTTGTAAAAGTCATGATTCTTTAATAAAATGCCCTATGGCACAAATATAAATATTATGGTGATGTTTGCCATCGATGTCGTTGCTCCAAAAAACGGTGACACATCAGTGCCACGTTGGAAAAATCAGTGCTCCAAAAAACGGTAACATGTTTGAAATCGTTTTTCCATAAAAAACGATGCTTCAAGTCACACCTTGGAAATCGAGAAGGCATGGTTTGTAGCAACGCTGAATTTGACGTTTTGACAATTTGGAGCTTGTTGCTACTAATGAGGACAAGATGTGGCAGTGACGTGGACTTCCTATAATGGGTACCAGTGATGAAAACAGATATGGAGCACTGGTCCCAAATAGAAGGTGTTGTTGTTACCCCAGGAAACATCCTATTTGGCAGCAACATTTCCAAAAAAAAAAAAAGACACCATTTTATCAGAAAACAATGCTTCCAACCCACGCGTATACATCATCGATGCCAAACATATATTATATATAAGTGCAATTTTAGAATTAAGATTTGACAAAGTAGAAATTAAGTTTTGTTTATATGAATAAAAAAATTATAACAATTGCTCAAATAGTATTTCTAAAAACTTTTTAAAATTAGAGATTTACAGATTATTGTAAATCCTAGGGTGTTCAACTAATAAAAAAGGTTGTTCAATATGGATAATATATTTTTCTAGTTTTGCCTCATTTTTTCTTGTGAACATTGACAATTACCAAAAAGCCCATAACCAATTTATGTTTTTATTTTCATTATTATTTCTCAAATGACTAGTCATATGTCTAGGCAAATGGATAGTGCCACCTTTTCTACTATAACTAAAGTCACATCTACATTCTATGCATGCTACTCTTTTTCCTTCACTCAACATTTCCTATTTTAAGCATGTTCAAACTTCAATGGTGTTTCTCTTACCACCCCTTACACTTGTAATAGGAGTGGCTTCATTAGCAATATTACCACTAACACCAACGTTGGTGCTATCCTACTATGATTGGACATCGTCCAAGTTGTGGGAGAAGATAATTTGAGAGGAGTCAATCATTTAAAAAATTTAAAATATTAGTGTCCTAAAAAATGAAAATTGATTACCACTTACCCACTTTGTCGATTAGATATCTCAACTTGATTTCAACTAATGAAGATTTAACCCTTCCAAATTGTTAACTTAAAACACTTGAGAAGGCATTTTCCTTGTTGAAATTTGAATAAAATTGAGAATTAAGGACTAAAGATTAAGAGAGACTAAGGCTATGTTTGGTTTAAAGGAAAATGTAGGGAAAGGAAGGGAAAGGTAGGGAAAGGTAGGGAGACCTTTACAAATCTTGTATTGGTTTCTCTGTCTTCCGTTGCTTTCCCTACCTTTTCCTTCAAACCAAATATAGCCTAAAAGAGTATGGGAATGTATGAGAGAGTATGTGAGAGTACGTGAATATATGAGAGTATAAGAGTAGGAATGGCAAGGGGGTGGGGTGGGGATGGAGAACCTCTCCCCATCCCCGTCCCCGCTAATGGGGACAAGGTTATCCCCATCCTCGTCCCCACGGGGATCCCCATTCCCCGTGATTTTTTATAATGTTAACCATTTTGTTTTTTATTTTATTTAAAAAAATAAAATAATTAAAATTTACAATCCTATTAGAAAAGATTCAAACATATTCAACTATATTTTAAAAAATATTAATATATAGATGTATGTGTACATATATACATATACAACGTATGCATATATATATATATATATATATATATATATATATATATATATATATATATATATTAGTGGGGATCCCATGGGGCAGGGATCGGGGTCCCCGCGGGGCGGGGAGTGCTCTTCCCGTCCCCGCTAATAGGGATGAAAATTTTCCCATCCCCACCCCATTCGGAGCGGATCCCCACGGGGATCGGGGAAATGGGGAAAATTGCCATCCCTATATAAGAGTATGAGAGTTAGCATAATGAGAATGAGTGAGGGTAAGGGTATTTATAGGAGTGAAAATTATTTAATTGACCAAAATATCCTAAAAAACTAGTTGTTTTATAGTTGTAGGGAGGGGTATTTTAGTTTTTTACAAATATATTTATCACTTTACCAAGATATCCCAAAGGCCCAAACTAATTGTTATATAGCTGTTGGGGGCATTTAAGTCACTTTTCCTCCCAAAACTAAAATACCCAAATACCCTCAAACTAGCTATTTATACTTACCGGGAATGATTTGTTGTCCTACAGATGTCTCACCAACTCTTGCTTTCGGTGCTCACGGTCTCTTTCCTTTATTTCCGTGGTTTTGGTCTAATTTTGGTTGGACTATTCTTGCTAATTGTAACTTGGTGGGCTGTATTTTGAGCATTTGTTAATAAGCTTTGCCTTAAAGTTTTAAAAAGTGGGACAATTAAGGCTGTATTTGGTTAATTTGGTACATGTTTCCTAATCTTTCCCTTCATTCCTACCTTTTCTTCCAAACCAAGCACAGCCAAATGAATGTGTGTGTAGAGTCATTTTAGACCTCAAACCAACTTTATATTTGGAAGATTCCTTGATTATTCAGCAAACTCGCTACCATATACATAAGGAAGAATATTAACTAATTAAACCAATGAGGGAGTTCTCCCAAATGAACACATCCTATTTTTGCTATGTGACACATGACCGATCGATCCAAGACATCCAGTAGGTAGGGAAAACTCTAGATCAGCGACCTATTAAATCCTATTGTCCAAATCAGCCCATATTCATCTTAGCTCAGTGTTCTTAGATTGACCATTGAAAAGGGTTTATTTTGAACATGTAGCAAGTATTTTGGGCTTAATTTGAGTAGGACTCCTTTGTAACCTGCCAATAAAACACGAACACATCAGCGATGGGAATAATTAAAAAATGGTCATTTATTAGGACACCCCCTATAGTTTCATGAATTTATTTAAACTTATCATCTAGTTTTCATTTTACTAAAACACAATCCCTATAGTTTGCAAGTTGCAACATATTTACTTGGTCGTTTTTTACTAAGAAATGCTTATTTTGCCATTTGCCATATGAAAATAACAACATGATCACCTAAACTGAATGGAAAATGTTCAAGGGCACGGGCCTATGATCTTTTATTCCAAAATTACCTCTAACATTTTTTCGTACAAAAAGATAAAATTGATCAAATAGAGCCAAATAGAGTGATTGCTTGTATCCTATTATGTTGCATTTGGTTGCAGTACAAATAAATTTGCAGTACTGATGTAAAATTATGGTAGTGTAAATGATTTGGGTGCACAATTTGATTTATTTTTGTTTCAAATTTCACCTTATTTTGTTTGATTGCAATACAAATGAAGTAAAATAAGAGGTGGGACAGAATGAAGTAAAACCCAAAACAAAATTAAATCAGAATTTACATTCCCATACATTTGTACTAGTGCAAATAAAATTGCATTACAACCAAACACAATCTTAGAAACAAAAATGTGAATTTTATTTTATTTTTTTATTTTCTTTTGATTAAATTTATTCAAATGAACATTAGGATCAAAACTGTTATTTTCCACTGTCATTTAATGGAAGATCAATTAAGTAAAACAAAACGATAGAAACACAAAGTATAGGGTAGGTTTTAGTAAATAATTGAGACAACAAGGAGTGTTTTATAAATGAATGACCAAAATGCTTTAGTCAAATTTGAACCCGGATCTCACAAACAAACGCATGTTCTCGTGTGTTTAGGTCAGGTGACACAAAACTGTGATGTGCCTACTGCGTAGCTTTGTTTTGTTACAAGCAGATCCCATCTCTCAATTTGATTGATTTGTAGAGGCCGACACATGTGGGGACCCTTTTGTGGGGTCAAACTAACTAGTCTACGTGGAAGATCGATTGGTGGTTCAGGACTTCTTGGCTGTACGTACACGAGAAGAGTAGAAAGAAACTGCCATATATACGATCTTGATACGATCTTATAAAGTAAATGAATGGATGCCCTAAAGGCTAAAGCATGATTGCACAGAGTTGATAGTGTTTAAAGCAAACCGCCCGTGCCCCTATAGCATGATTTTATACTATTGGAGTATTAATTCTCCATCGTCAAGTACCGGAGAGAGTCAATATCTAAAGAAACAAACTTCTCTGCAGCAGCTGCAGGACTATATACCACTTTTCAGTCACTCTCCATGGTCAAGTACTGCACTCCCACGTTTAGTAATAACCTCTCAAAAGTTAGCCTCTCCATCATCCCCTGCGCTGCTCCTCAAAATCTGCTTTCCATTGCAGCAGACACAGAGAACCCAAATTAAAGGCAAAGAAGGGAAAAAAAAGATGATAAGTTTCAGCGATCTATACTGTGTCTTATCTTCTGTTGTTCCTCTCTATGTCACCATGTTCTTGGCTTATGCTTCCGTAAAATGGTGGAACGTCTTCACGCCCGACCAGTGTGCTGGGATCAACAAGTTTGTCGCTATCTTTGCTGTCCCACTTCTCTCGTTCGAGTTCATTTCTCGGATAAATCCATACAAGATGAATCTCTTGTTCATCGCTGCTGACAGTGTATCCAAAGTTGTAATTCTGATAGTGTTGTTTTCTTGGGCTAAGTTGTCTAAGAGAGGGAGTCTGGACTGGGTCATCACCCTCTTCTCGCTCTCCACCCTCCCGAACACTCTTGTCATGGGCATTCCACTTCTGAAATCCATGTATGGAAGTGACAAGGAAAATCTGATGGTCCAGGTGGTGGTTTTACAGTGTATAATTTGGTATACTTTGATGTTGTTTTTGTTTGAATATAGAGAAGCAAGGATTCTGGTACTGCAGAAATTTGATGGTGGTGATAACACTGAGAAGCATGGAGAAGATGTAAGTTCAGCTCAGAAGGTCCGAAGCAGTAGCAGTGGTAGTGCTGGTCTTGATCAAGATGAGGTTGTTCATGTGATTGTAACTAGACCAAGTTCTGGATCTCCACAATCTGATACACAGAGTACTCTCCAGAACTTGAACAAAGTGGCACCTGATTCCAGGCGATTCAACCAAATGTTTGCAACAGCAGCGGCAGCTGCAGAAGACGGTAAAGAGCTACACTTGTTCATTTGGAGATGCGGATGCTGCAGTTCTGAAGGCAAGAGACGTGGAGATAGAGATGTCATTATATATATATGCAATAGGTTATCAGTTTTATTGGCCGGGTTCTTTTATTGATTTTAACTGATTCTGATGAAATGTTTGTTTAAATATATGATGATCACAGGTGTCCCTGAGCAGTCTGTTGAAGTTTCTACTAGAGAAGAAGCAAATGACAACAAAGGGAAGAGCACCAGAGAGGCTGATGAAAAGTCACAAGTTCTACAGGCTCCTGATGACCATTCTTCCAACATGTCCTCAGTGATGTTTAAGCTGATCTTGAAAATGGTGTGGTTTAAGCTCATCAAGAACCCAAATTCTTATGCAAGCTTACTGGGCCTAAGCTGGGCTCTAGCTTCTTGCAGGTAGGTACTCTGAATTTTGATCAGGATTTATTCTTTATTTTAATTTCTGAGTTACATATTGACCTACTTCTCTCTTAATTATGATATATATATATATATATATTGTCACCACTTTTTGCATTAATGCAGGTGGAGTTTTAAGAAACCCCAAATCATAGAAAACTCTGTCACAATCTTGTCAAATGCAGGCCTTGGAATGGCAATGTTTAGCCTTGGTAAGAGACAAAATTAATCTCAGCCTGCCGATTTATTTAAATATCTGAATGACACCCCCAGTTTAATTTCTTATCCTTCAGGTCTGTTCATGGCGCTTCAACCAAGAATTATCGCCTGTGGAAATAGATTGGCAGCATATGGGATGCTCATGAGGTTTGTGGTTGGACCTGCTGTAATGGCAGTTGCTTCTATAGCTGTTGGTCTTAGGGGAACGGTACTGAGAGTTTCCATTGTTCAAGTGAGCCCCAAAAGCTTCAAAATCCCTGTCCTATATATAATATAATTGTTTGATTACCATGTTTGTCTTACATTGGATCCTTGATCTTACTGTTCAGGCTGCCTTGCCACAAGGAATAGTCCCTTTTGTGTTTGCAAGGGAATATAATTTACACCCAGATGTATTAAGCACAGCGTAAGTTCTTCTTCCTTTCTGGTTCATGAGATTAAATTCTTTAATTACTTCCAGGAAACACATATTCATAATATTGTTTAAGTATAGAAATGAGCTGAATTAATTTACAAGAGACTTATTAATTTTTTCTTGATTTTGCAGGGTTATCTTTGGGATGATAATCTCACTGCCCATTACAGTACTATATTACGTCTTCCTTGGTCTCTGATACAATGCTCAAATGCTGAAAAGTCAGTTTTGACAAAATCCTGGGTTCAACTGATCTCAACAAGTAGGCACATGATAATTTCAAACATCAAGATTACAATCAATTGAGATCCTGAAATACCAAGCAAAGATTCGTATACCCATCAATTGGGATCCTGAAATACAATCAATTTCCTGGGTTTCAGTCAATATTTATATATATATATATATATATATATATATATATATATATAGAAAGATATCTTGAATTCTAGCCTGGTTTTTTTGGCTCCATTGATACTGAGAGCAAGGTCTCTATCTCTAGAGGTATTTGTTTCAGAAAGAGAAGACCAGTAAATACATGAGCTATTGGTTATATATGAATTCCCCTGGTGTAAATAAGGAAATTAAAGCAAGGTAGTGTTAATTTAGTTAAATAAATGAAATTTATTTGATCTGATAGCTGGAGAATTGAATGGTTTGTTGGGTCAGATTTTTCAATCTTCCTCAAAGAAAAGCAAAAGAAAAACATACAAACGTGTTTAAAGCTGCTGTTGTTGGATGTATGTGTGCCTTATTTATTAACCCAGTCTGGATAGAAGACATGTAGGGCCCTATCTTTTGGGGAAACTACCTTGTGGTTTCTTTCATCTAGGGTTTTGGTCGACCCAATTGAAGCATTTTATTGATTAGAGGCACTTAGCTTCAATTATAATAGCCAACAGTCACATGTAATGTATGTGGGGTCAAGCTAAATATTGAAGATGATGTAGGGGTACCTATCACCCAGTGGGTACTAATGAAAATGAAATTACACTGCAAATAGACATAGCCTAAGGATTCACCACTTGGAATCAATTTTTGCCATAGTAAATATTTTGGAAGCTCGATCTGCAATGTGCAATATAATTTGGGTCCCATAAATATTCCCCATGTTTCTCTCCTAAGGCGATTTCTTCTGCGGCCATGGTTGCAACAAAATTCTACAACGACCCAATGGAACATTTTCCAATCACCTGGGGTATTCAAAACAAAGCAAAAAGGGATCGCTTCAATGTCTTATTAAACATTGCAAATTTTTTTTTGTGAGCTTGGGAACTCCTCTCCTTGTTCTACGTTCATAGAATATATTTTTGTCCAAAAGTATTTCCCTTACAAAGCGAATTCGGATTTATTCCTCACAGAGTGTACCTCACACCAACCTCACAATGCATCGCAGCGTTGACAACATCTTCCCATGAGTGATAACCTCACAATGTCACAGCTGTAATGTGTTGTGACAGTGCGCTCTGTGAGGAGCATATCCGATCTCTTTTTTTTATGCTGCAACCTTGGCCACGGTAGATGTTAACTATGACCCAATTCCATCATCATTTTCCTGATTGTAAAGAAGGCTTCAATCAAAACCATCTTGTTTTTGATGTGGCCAAATAGTGTAGTCCAATCAGAACTCGCCATGTGGCCCTTAATGGTGGGGCATTCTGGGAAATTCATCAATGACTTATGTTTGACCAATAAACATCCCGCTCTTGATCTATCTCTCTCTTTTATTGCATATCTTATCAGCAATAAATTGGTGTCATTTGTAGGAACGAATAAACAAACAAATATCAACCATGTTCAGGACCCACAACAACCATAACCACATGAGTGAACTTACTCTTGGGAGCAGTTTAATGTGTTCCAACAAATAAGTCGAGGACCTCACCACCTTAATTCATGGTGGTGCTGTTAGACAGTTTTGTATGCCCTTAGCTTCAATTAGCTTCAATCAGAATGATGTACTTTATGAGTTTATTATAAATGAATAAAAGTGCATATTTGATTCATGTTCCCTTGGTATGTTTCTGTGTAATACCCTTAAACTGGACACTTAAAGAGACTCGT